CTGGGTATAGGGTTGAGCAGGTCAGCCAGTAAATGTCACCTCAAAATGGGCAAGCTTAAAACACCAATAGTCTTTCTGGTCACTAAAAAGTCAGTTACATTTCAGTCATTACACTATGTACCAAGAATCACTGTAACAAGCTACAAATTGAACTTGACCACAATAGTATGCTTTAAATGTAATTACAGAAAAGTAATTTTTAACAATTTCAGACCGCGATGGTGAATTTGTCATAACACTTTGTGGACAGTCCCTAGTGTAGGAAAAAAATTCCTCATTGATGAGCTGACATTATTATTGTAATTGATACAGGAAACCAAAACTTGCATGTTTTCTCAGAGAGAATGTCTGAGGTTGGATTCCTCATGGGGACTCCAAATATCTGTTCGACTCGCACATGAAACAAGACGATAAAAATCTTTAAAACTTTTTCCTTTATTGGAAAATTTTTCAAGAGTTGATATTTTACCTTTGTTATGATTAGTTCGAAAATTTGAGGCTAAGTAAAAAGTTGAACCACAATGACAATATGCGATATAAGCCAACGATGTTTGTTTATGTATTTCAGATATCCACCACATGAACGCGGTGGAGGTGGCAGCAGTGCAGGTAGTGGCAGCAGTTACTCCAGCAATGAGCGTGGGTACGGCCCACCGATGGATAGAGGGTATGGCAGCTCAGACCGTTACAGTAGTGCTGATAGAGGATACTCCAGTGATAGGGGTTATGATGACAGGTAACTAGTGCCTTTAATGTGGACCGAAAGTCTCCTTTTGACTTTTAGTTCTTCTGGAACTAATTATAGAAAAAAAGTGAAGTCGCGTACGGCAGACCGGGTCGTTACTGCTCCATAAGCGGCGTTTTCGCGATTTAAAGGATGGTGATAATCGGTTTCTTTAGCCTCTACGTCTGTTTTTTTTTGTTTGTTTTTTTTGTTTTTTTAGTTTTTTATGCGACGATAGTGCCGAACAACAGTCGAGAGAAAAAAAACCATCATTTAGCCAAACATGTTACGTGACATTAGAGGTGACACATTAATAACCTTGATGGCGTCGCAACATTCTAATGACGTCATAATGTTTTCATTGAAGTCACAATTTTCCTCATGATGCCTCAACATTCAAAAAGGGTGTCGAAGACACAAATGAGTGTTGTATTCGTTATCGTATCGATTTGAAAAAAAACAAGCTAGTGGCTGGTCGTGAAGTATAATGCACCGCGTAACACATCTGTTTTCGTTTGTTAGGTACGGTGGCAGCACTGGAGGTTCCGGAGGTGCTTCTCACGATCGTTATCTTCCAGAGAGAGGCAGCTATGGTGGTGAACGTCAGGAGAGAGGCGGTTATGACTCTTATGGTAGTAGTGGAGGAAGCTATGGGAGCAGTGAGCGAAGTTATGGTGGACCCGAGCGCAGTTATCCCCCACCTGATCGTGGGTATGGGCCCCCTCCTGAGCGAGCGAGGTCCGGAAGCTACGGTGGACCTCCCGCCGACAGGCCTTATTCATCTGGGGGGTCCTATTCTGGAGGTGAGTGGTGACGAGGAGATGAACTCTTTAAACCCAAAGTAATGTTTTCTTCTTTAAAGTTCATGTTTGTTAACTTCAAAATATAGAAACTGATTGCAAAGGAGATCTTGATTACTTGACCAACAGTGCATCAAGTCTGCCAAATCAACCTTCAGTTAGCCTAGTGTATGGGGCTAATTCTGACTGTTGTTGATGAGGAAAATTTCTTTCCGGTTGCCTAGCTACTGTAACATTATAGTTCAATTGTTCTTCATATTGGAAATTTTGCCCCAGCTATCGTGATTGATAACGCGTGATCTTTTCAATTATAGTCCAGGAAATGGCTTGAGTTTTCCCCCAAGGAAAACTTTTTTAGCACGGCGCTGAGTTGTCAGTAGCCTGGTCAGCCTGCCTTGTTTGGTTAACACACAAAGATCACTAACAAGGGAAGGGTGCTGATGTGCGGCCTGGGTTAGGGAACCAACCCGGTTGAGCTAGTTTTATGCAGTGCAGTGCCCCCTTAAGATGATAGAATACTTTTTTATTCTAAATATGTGAGAATGTTCCAGACGGTCGTTTTTTGGTGTGGCAACTTCTTCAAGTCTGCGATTTTCGACATCGGTTTTATTCTTCTATCTTTCCAATTGTTTTGGAGAAAATAGATGTATCAGCCTTGTATCTCTAACCTCTTCACAGAATTTGTATCCTCGACAGTAGATTACGACCGAATCAGTCAAAGCTGAGAAGCTACATCCAATCCAGTTTATACGCTACTAAAATCAAACGTACAACCAACTTCGCCTCTTCAGTTGCCAATAATTGTTCTTATCCCAACAGTAAATTAAAGGGAATCTTTTTTATTGTCGTACTCCTCCTTCAGTAGATTCGCATCCGGCAGTATCTCGGAAGCGCTCATTTGTTCACTGCCACCATTAGTCCTGCAGGTTGTTCAATATCATATTCTAAGTCGATCCACAACATTACCAGGTAGTCGATATGATGGATTAGTTGAGAGGCCTGTGTCCCTTCGCTGTCTCATATTTTGTACGTGTTTTTATCTCTTTGAAGCAGGAAAATCCGTTTGATCTATGCAAGCTGTAGCGGTTATCACCACTGGATATACTGTGCCTCATGCATCATAGAATCATTTTGTCCTGTATATCTAATTGTGTAATTTACATTTCGTTTGAAGGCCGCGACTGGTGATGAGGTGCCGAATCGCGCTCTCCGATCCTGCGATGACGACCGATGTTTCTTGCCGATGCTCTTTATTTTGTTCCAGCTACAGATTTTAGCCGTTCCTTGACTGTAAAGTAAACATGAAAGTTCGCTTAATCAGTGCATCTGTTGCCGAAACCATCATTGCAAATCTTCGAATGCCAAATAACGAACAGAAATCCGCTATGTCAACGGACTTTATGGATTCTTCTCGATTTCCGTACCTTCGGCGGCATGTGTGTAGCTTGAGTAATTTCGAATGTTCCAATTCACAGCGAAGACTTTAAGTAAGACAGTGTTTAACTTTCATGTGCACTTTTTGACTGAACGAGTGGTTTTTTTAGAAATTTTTTAAGTAGTGATTATGTGAGGGCTAGAAGGTAGTGTTAAAAATGCTTCTTTGCGCAGGTTGAGCTGTTTCTTTTTATTGCAAATAAAGAGTTGTATCCCCAAAAATCCGATGTTTCATTGATGGCCAACTCGAGTTCGATTAACTACGACTGATGTCCGACCGCCCGTCTGGTTAACTACCTGTTTCTTAAATGCAATATCTTAAACTAACCGGTACATAGCTACGGATAAACTGAAAGCTGCCTACGAACTAAAATTCTGAAGACTTTTCTATTTCCTTCTACCGTTGAACTCTAAATAATGTTTTGCTCGGAACAATACCACGCTCCAATTTTCGGACTATTTAGATCTACATCCAGGTTTCACGGTGATTCTGTACTGGGTGAACAAATAAACAAACAAGCTTAAAAAACAGTCGATATTTTTATGAGTTCTTCGTCCCTTTCTGTTTAAGTACGAAAAATTCGAAATGAAAATAAACAATTTAAAAGTTCGGCACGTCGCGACACTTGTGAAGGAAGTTGAGGTCCAGTGCTTCGACTAAAAGCTTTACCACGTCAACTGTCGAAAGTCCGTAACGTCGTGCAAAACACCTCTATAAGGTGTCCACTTCCTCACCCCTATACTTCCGATCCTTGACAACGATGGCTTGCAGTCTTATCCGTAGCTAGTCCGACGGTATGATAGAAAGCTGAATGTTTGCATGTTCATAAACTGAGTACGTTCGTCTTATTTCCTGCCGAGAGAGTGCAACATCACATCATTGGCTTTTGTGTATCATAGAAACATCCAACTGTTGTATTATCTTTCAGGGCCTTGTGTTTCGAGGCCGGCTTGATTTAACTGATAAACTTCGAATTTCTGGCTCTGATGAATTTAAAGCTTCTTCTCGAAACGATAGCTAAATGTCGAGTGTTTAATTAAAAATTTAGCCAGTCCGTGAAGGAAAATAACCAAGAAAATGTAATTTATTGTAAAAGATGGTAACTCTAATAACCTTCTGAATCTTACGCGTCGATGTGCGAGGTCTTTACCGTAGCGTCTGTCGAATCGGTAGTTCACTTTACTCAATGTATTTCGACTGTCAAGAATGTAATAACTAGTTGTATAAAAAGGGATTTCCCACAGAGTAAACTTCTCCCCTGTCAAAAACCTTCGCGCACTGTTATCTCCGCCTTGTTCTCATGGTCATTCTTTTTGTTTTTGCTTTGATTTTTTGTTTTTTCCTTGCACTTAATCCATTACACCCTAACTTGGTATTCATATTTTTCACTCTGTTTGCATTTCCTATGGTACTGATGAAGAGCATTTGGTTGACAATAACGAGTTTCACAAATTGGTGATCGTTTCCTTTTTCTCGCGACCTTTGCATTTGATTCAAGAGTACTTTGGGGGAAAATTAGAAAATCGATCATTCTCATGGGTTGGTGTAATGTAGAAACATAATGATTTAAAGTAGGGGGAGCGAGTCAGGAAAGAGTTTTCTGAATTTATAATCATAAAACGGGGTTAAAAATTCCAGCACGAAGGTCATTTACCGACGACTGTCGTCCGATACCCTTAGCCTTACGGTTCTTAGCTTAATGAAGTTTTTTGTAGTCTTTGGTTATATGTGCACCCAAGTACCCAGTGATTGAAGGCAGGTCAGGTAGGTACACCTCCAAGTTACCCTATTTTTTGCTAAGGTAAATCTTAGATTTTCTCCTCTTTCTGCAAACGCTTTTCATTCCACTAATTTATTTATGTTTTTCTCGTTGCCATGCTCCCACCAATAACGTAGCTCCATTTTCTGCCTTTATAAGCACACACAACCCAAAATTCCTCTATTCGCTCCGACGAAGGGCTAACGCTCGAAACGTCAGCTTTTGTAATCATTACGGTGGCTAATTTACCATTTCATCTTTGTTGATATATCCAAATTATTTCGTTACTCCCACCGACGCAGCCCCAAACAGTTTCTTTCGAAACTATCAGCCTCTTTTCAATGTTGCTGACAAATTGCCAACCCGTTCAAACATCGAATGAAACGTCGTGTGGTTGGCGAAGTTAGTTTTCTTGCATCCTGTATTTATGATCGTTCAAATTATGTCATCAGGAAGCGACAAGTCAGTTCCTGCCTGAATCAGCTTGCCGGGAAATCGAGCGAATTCGTTTTTAAGTCATGCAGTCATATATCAGCTAGTAATGGCTGAAATCGTGAGTAACAGTCAAACATGTAGTGTGATCGTCCAGGTTAGACTTTCCTGAAAAGGACTTTGTTAGTAGTAGTGACTGACTGTTCGGCAACTTAAGTGGAAGTCAATGTGAGAGGTAACTGAGGAGCTGTTCATCAGTCGGCTGTTGCGAGAAGTTGATTGGTGCGACTCATCTCTTGACCCTGACGATGGCCTCTGCATTGGTTGATGTAAAATTCATCACTTCTACCAGTTACAGCCCTTTTCATTGTTACCTTCTACTTAATGACCACACTTGACGATGGCATGTTACACGTTCCGAAGGAGAGAGAATACAATTGAGAAGAAAGCTTAAGATTTTGACCAACCGATGGGTTCTGAATCGCCTGTCGTTGCTATATGAGGATAAGTCTTCAAGTGGGCCAGTATTGTAATATTCCGGTTGAGAAAGGACAAAAACCACTCTTGTTGCCAGGCTGACCGACGTTTTCACAACTGAAACGGGTTTCATCATAGCCCATTTTGTCGAAACCCCCAGTCTGACAGAACTTACCATGCGCAGCTGAAGCAAGGTTTCTGATGGGTTAGTTCAAATCTGTGTTAAGTCATCTCTCAAATTTTGAGTGTACGGTGGAGTTTCTTATGTCTGGTTTGTTTTTCATTTCAGCGTGGGGTGACTTTTTTTAAGGTAGTCGAGGAGATAAGAGAGATGTCGGAGGTTTTGTATCCTCTTTGAAATTGTCTCGGTATTTTGCCTACTGAGACTTCTGGTAAGGCCGTAGGCACTTCGATAAACTTCGTAAACCTTCCCCCGGGCCCCTCGCAGGCGGACAATCGTGAAACACTGGTAACATCTCTTGTGTCTCGTCTTGGATCAGTTCCGACTCTGGCCATCGTTGAACATTGAATCTGATCGAGTTTTTTCGAATTCAATTTTGGTTTTTTCGGGTTTAGTTAAATTTTTTCGGGCCTCACCTCTGCATCGCAAGAGCTGTTCATTAACCTCTCTGCATTTTACACTACAAGGCTTCTTTACTGCAATACTTTACAATTATACAACAGTAGCTACATGCAGCTATAGACTGCCTTCTATTTTCGTTTGCTATACCAGTATTACTACTTGTTCTCAGTAGAAACGCCGAAAGCCCTTTTATTTGTTATTGACGTAAAGGCGAACGCTGTCCTCACTTGGTTATTACTACGAACGTTAACGCATTGCCACGAAGAAGATTAAATTACGGCCGTGATTATGTAGTAATTGTCGGTATAACACGCCTGAACTTTTCCCTCCGTTCTATCTGTGGGAAAGGCGGGCTATCCAATGCCCCCGTATGCATCGGCAATTCACGGGAATGTGTGAGAGCCATGGTGAAGATAGTCTGCTACACAGCCGCTCATAGAGTCGTCGCGCAATGCTCCTCCCCACGTTCGTGGGAAGGAGCGTTGCGTGACGACCCTAAGAACGGCTGTGTAGCAGACTAGGGTGAAGAGCGCCAAAGGCGAGTCCAGTAAGCATTCATATTTGTTTCCTTGCTTGCTTGTCAAAGATAACACTGACATCGAGACGGAATACAGCTTACCGAGCCCTTGAAATACGTAGTTTCTCTCTTTTCTTCAGTTTTGTGCCAGACCTCTCACCTGTTTTCCTTTTACAGCTCGTACCGCTGCACCAGTGAGAGCGTGCTTGCGGGCGAAGATGTAGCTTTGAATAGGTGTTACTAAATTCGGTATTCACATATTTTTTTTGTCTTTTGAAATATGGGTCACATGTGAATGCTTATCGTGCGATACCATGCCGAGAAATCAATTCTGCGTTGTGTAGCAACGACGTGTAAATTTGTAGACGAAGTTTTCACTCTGGAAAGGTATCTGAGTGTTCTATCCAGGGCCATACCTGAATATTTTTTAATATTTTCGGAAAGATTTAAGTACTCCAGGGATACCCTACTTCTATTCCCTCTGACGACGGGCTAACGCTCGAAAATTCAGGTTTTTAAACTTTTCACGGAGGCCAGTTTACATGATCAACTCACTTGACGAAACAACAACATCTATTTAGAAAAAGGCTTATCCCCGAGAGGCAAGGGACAAGTCAGAAATCGCCCTGTTTAGGGTTTGGAATTATACTTATAACAAATTCGTTATTTTTGAAGTCGTAGCTGTCTCAAGGGGAGTGGAATGTTTTTCAGCGCGTGAAAACAGATGATGCCCTTTGTTATGACCCTACATTGTCAGTTCCTGTTAGCGGTCCGGCAGTGTATGGATTATGCACGGATTCCGTCGGTAGTGTCTAAGAATGATCGTCTATAAGTCTGGCGCGTATTGGAGACATGCTGATAATTAAAAGAGCATGTCATTTTTCGTAGCAATATCGACGAAATACGAGAATGAAAAACCTTTTCCTCGTGTTTATCTTCCGATTAATTACTCTTCATCACTAGTCCGTCTCAGATCGTAAGCTGTGCTTTGTCATTATTGAGCGGTGATCTTTCTTCAATATGACAGCTGTTACAGCTGAGGTTGTCTTTCGACAGAATCTAGACTTACTTCAAGTGTTTGGTCGTTGCTTAGGGAACTGCCCAGACGTATGACTCGACTTTTGTTATCTAAGTGAGTAACTTGTGCGGTGAAGTGTGCAATCTCACGTACGCGGAATTGATTTCTGACGTTGTCGAGACATGGCTAGTCTTTTGTGCTGTGAAGTGGCCAATTTCTTGCTCTAGTTTTTTTATGCGGAATTTCTGACTTACGGTGTTCAGAAAAAGTCTAAACACGGCAGGTCTTTCGTAAGAAAAAGGGCGAATTTCTGATCTAGCAATTCGTGTGGGCAATTCATTCCTCACGGGATCAGAAGGGGCCAAGTTTGAACTCTGTTTTTTGTGTTTTTGTTTGTTTGGTTTTTTTGTTTTTACTCGGAGCTTTTTCCCTAAGGATGTCAAAAATAACTCAAAACGTGGCGGGTCGCTTTGAAGAAAGCGGCTTCTTTCGGACCTTTTTTTTTTTTCAGCGCGGAATTGATTTCCAACTCTCTAAAACTAGTCACGGAAAACATTGCCATACCTCATCTCGTCAACTTAGGTTGTTCATGGCGCGAGAGTATGGGGAAGAGTTTGTGTGTACTTGAGATATTCTTTAAGTGTCACTTATTGCCTAGTTTTTCGCTTCCTATTGTTAATAACACTGGACCCCAATCTCATTGTCACTGTGACGAATTGTAAAACGTCAGGTAAAGTCGTTAAAATCAAGTAATGTACTTCTTTACTTTCTTCGAATTGTGTTCAAGTAGGGCTGATGGACGTCACAAAGCTAAAGTTATTTCTCTTGTTAGTCTTTCCCTTTTGTTGTTTTTGTTGTTGTTTTCCACAACAATTTTTCAACATTGCTCTTTTTTCTCGTTCATACAAGACCAGTTTCTTCCCAAAGTTGAAAAAAAGAAATACATTTGAAAGTTCAAAAACAAAATTCAGTCGAGAAGACTGGCACATTTGAAAGTTCAAATTGATTAGATACGCTGATGTCCCCTTTACCTTTTTTTCTTAATGGAATTGACTTGAATTCGTGCCCAATCTCCGGAAAACGCAAACTTGATTAACGAGAACGCAATGAGTGAGCCACCTTGAAACTCATCTCATCAGTATACTATTTGCAACATCGCACCCAATAGATAGCAAAATGTTTTGGGCTTAACCTGTGTAGACAGTTTCAACATACTTAAAAGTTGCAACTTTACTCCTTTATGGAAAATGGACTTAAATACAGGTTAATACCAAGAGATGGAATAAAGCTGTCCCTATAACCTGTACCAGATCATGTACATGGGACTCGAGATGTATGCTATTTCTTCCTTTTTTCTCAAATGATGAGGTAGAAATAAAAGACAAAATTCGTTTCTTCTGTCTGTATAGTCCTAACGAAAAACTCACCTTTCAGACTGTTACGTTTGGCACTTCCGCTTTTAGTTTTTTCTTGCTCGAAATTTAAGAAGATTGCGATTGTTGATTCTGCCAAAATTTTCGTTTTATCCTGGAAGAATCGGGTTTTCGGTTCTTGCTTTTTTTATATATATATTTATTAAGACGGACATGTTGTTCTTGTTCGAAATTGGCCGATTTTATGTCGGAAATGAAAATAATACTAAGGTCAGATTTTTGTGGTTAAATCTAAGACGAAGTAACTCGTAAATGCGTGGGAACCTTCTGATGGCTTTGTTTTGCATTCGGAGTGTGCTTGTAAAGACTTTTGTTTTCAGCGGGTGTGTGAAACAATGCGCCGAAACAAAACACACTTTCGAAACAAAGCTAAACACGTGCTTTGGAATATGGCCTTATAATGTTTTATTTACAGTGCGATTTATGGATTTCACAATAGCCCCGTTGAGGCACGACAATGTATCACGTCCTGAGTTCGTGTAGGCCATTCCAAGAGTCATTTGTTTATCTTTCACAGCCAATTAGCTCAAATCGTTCTCACGGCCTCGGACTAAGCTGGTTTAAAGTGTCTGCCGGAATAAGGAAAAAAAATAATTTGGTGTTCGTTGTCTGTATTTATGATGTGTCGCTAATATGCCCGCCAGACTTCCAGTCTCGTTGGCTAAATGGCTTTTATGCGTTGTAATTACTTTGGCATTCAACTTTTTCGCTCAGCAGCCCCATCCTCACGCGCGCTTTGACCGTGAATGCCGGCTCTTGCTGTTGGCTGTTCAATTCTGGCGTTATTTGCATAATGCATGCTGAGATGGTTTTGTTTCGTACAAAAAGCGACCAATGGTAGGCCTGCGTTCTCACGCTCTCTTTCTCAGCTGCCAGCGAACGCCAAAATACCATTCATGCGACAAAAATGCAGGCTCTTTAAAACAAAATGCGATGATAATAAGCCGGGGTTGGGAACTCGTAGACAAGGATTTTCCCACGGCTCGGAAGGTAAATAAAACGCCATGTTCACCAAAGTTCACTTTCATTTGTCTCCGTGTCGAGTCCAAGCAGGAGATCGTGCAAAGTAGCCTCCGGAAAAAAAAAACCGTAAAAAAAGGGAAAGTAGCGATGGTGCAAGAATCTACGAAACTGGAAAAGGAAAGTGATTCGGAGAGCCGGAAGGTATACATATCCTGGGTTTTTCTCACGGAAAATGCTTTTTTGATTATATTCGCCTCTGGAAAGCGTGTTTGAAACATCTTAAGGCTAACCTACTTAAGAGATGTGGCTGTCAACAACCATTTTAATTAAATGAAATCCGCATATTTTCGTCCTAGTGGTCTAAACCAATTATGGAGAAGAGAAGGCGCGAACGAATCAATCGAAGTTTGGAAGAACTCAAGAGATTAGTGCTAGAAGCACAGAACAGAGATGTGAGTATTTGCTGTGTCAGCAGAAATTTCTCCGCATTAATAATAATAATTGTTCACCGAGCGTCGCGTTTAAGTGAAAGAAACCTTTAGTTCCTTTACTGCTTATAAGTTTAGGGGAAATGTTAAAGTTACTGCCGCCACGGGCATGCTATCATAGCGGCCCTTTCGGTATAGCCAAACATTGGATTCCATCAGTTTGCAGATGATATCGCGGAATCTTAACTAAGAAGTGAGGCCTCTGGGTGTTTTTGGTAGTGCGTGAGCATGAAGTTTAGACAAGTTGCTTTTCGACGTGCTCTTGCAAACATTCTTTCTGTCAATCGTATTTAACATCTCTGACATCTGTCTTGTCGGGATGATAGAAAGAGCCAGTCAACTGTCGTGAATGGATTCATGAAATTAGAATATTGATGATGTTAGCATTTCGCGGTTGAGGTGATGGGGCCTTTTCTTTGTGAGGGTCGTTGAAGATAAGGCTAATTTTACGCACGAGAAATGGTTTAAGTGACAAATTTTGATTTCGAAATGATTAATTGCAGAGTTCTCGGTACACGAAGCTGGAGAAGGCAGATATCTTGGAGATGACAGTTCGTTATCTACGAAGTCTCCGACATCACCAACGAGCAGGTAAATTTTACCTCTCCTGGAATAATGACAAGTTGATATACAACTAATAAATGTCAGTGTATGTTACCGTTATTTAAACTGCCCAATTTTGACTAGTTTATGATAAGTGGTATGTGTGTGAAGCCCATGTCACTTGATATGGCAGGTGCAACGAGTAACATGAAAAATACTTCTTAATCCCTCAATCATTACGCAATGAAGTCATTGAATTGGGTTGAATAACAAAAGAGTCGTCGTGATGTGTATTATATTAGGTTGTAAAAGCGCCGCCTAGGTTGGAAATACTTAAAATATACATTTATGTGCCATTTAAAAGTTGAAAAAAAAAAAAACTCTCGGTAAGAACGCTATTAAGAACAATTAAAATCAAATGTTACATGTTATTTTTGGTTATCATTACTGAGCTTCAAGCGATAAGCATGTTCATAAGCTTTTATGTCTTGATTCTCAACCGTTTCTGGATGTTTTAAAAAGGGAAATGCTTGTGTATGGTTCCTTTCTTTTGAGTTTTTAACAAAAATGTTTGACCAAGAGGAACGCTAAAAAAATACTATTTTATCTCGGCTCCGGGGATAATTTGATAATTCGATGAGTTTGAAAATCATCTTGGTCGAGAAAGCTTTTATCTTAAACAAAAAAACAAAAGACGATCAAAAGAAACCCTAGTGGTCGAAAGGTCGTCTTTGATAAACAAATTTCAGTTTGAGTCCATTTTGGTACTGGTAGCGTCTTCAGGGTTAGGAAGACTGATGAAGTTCAAGCAGGAAGAAGGCTACAAAACACTGATTAGTTTGTGTGATTCCTTGAAAACCTAGTTAGATTTTCAAATTTACTTGAAATAATTTGTAGTAAAGAGAGAAAAACTTGAACCTTAATTCAGGGTAGGTAAAATTGGAATTTGAGTGAGAAAACTGATCGACTTTTAGTGGCTTATTTATGCAAAATACTGTCTCCTTTTTCCCTATGTAGTTCTCATATTAAAAGAGAGACATCTTGTTTCCGGTGAATTTGCTGCTAGATCTCAAGTGGAAATTATTTCTCGTTGTTGAAGCTTTATACAGATTGTGGTGGACTTAAAAGAACGTTGGGTGGAGGTTTACCGAATATCCTCTTCAGTGATTCACGTCCATGCTTCTAATGTCCCCAGATGATACAGAAAGTCCTCTTTCCTCACGACTTTTGTATTTAAATTTCTACCTTTCTGTTTGTAGTGATGACGACTACCGACCCTTACATGCTACTTAAGCACCGTGCCGGTTACAGCGCATGCGTGGCCGAGTTGTCCAAGAACGTGATTGGGGACAACTCTTTGGAACCTGATGTGAAGACTCAAATCCTCTCTCATTTAACGGGATGCCATGCAACTCAGAGGGGAGCTGGTGACATTCCAATACAGTCGCCTGCAAGATATCTATCGTCAGTTCACTATGAGAACACTGCGAACCTTTCCGTGAAGGAACAAAGACGGTTGTTACCTAAAGACACAACGAATGCGCATGCATCCCAAGCCCGTACCACAGTTTCTCCATACATGGTTCAAGGCCATCGAGTACATCCTTCAGCAGGGACCATTCCTGTGCATTATGTCCCTATTTTAGGTACCGACTCCGGGACCTCCTCAGGGATGTACCACGCGCTAGTCCCAAGTGTATCTTCTCCAGCGTTACACCTCACAGACCCATTATGGCGACCTTGGTGATCAATTTTTTGAAAAGTTTTTCTCAAAATATTAAGGAATAGAAGTATTGCTTAAATTAGGAGACTAAAACTATGGCTAAAGTAATGGTTTTTATTTTCAAGAATAAGTCATCATCCTAAATTGTGTGCACCTCATATGATGAATTAATATTTCAAAAGATACATTGCTATCCACTAGGTGCACGTAAGGTCTTTCTCTAAAAAGTTTAAATTCATTTGGAAAAATCGTGAAGTATTCATGTTTTCAGCGTATGTTTAGATTGGATTCACTTACATCAACTAACATTCACCATTCAGATTTCTCTAAGATAGCGACTGAAAACCGTTTAGTCGTTACAATGAAAGTAATTATAATTAGTATTTTGACCTTAATTGTCAATGATGCAGAATGACAGATGCTTGAGAAATGTTGTAAATAGTATTGAATGATTTTAGAATTAAAGCAACTTTTAACTGCATGTTATTTAGAATGTTTGTTTTGTTTCGTATTTGAATTTAATGATTATTTAATACAAGCCCGACACGAGACTTACCGATCAGAATAGGCTCAATGCTGAGCGGCAAAGATTTGTCTTTCTCGTGGCTGCGCTTAAGGCTACCACGCAACGCTCTTTCGAAGGTTTCGTTAATCTTTTCATTACATCACTTGTGATCCTTGCAATCTGATTAGCTCTTACAGTTGCGATTTATTCACAAATCGCACCGTTTTATGCCCTTAATCGCATCCTTTTTCCGACTAGTGAGACAGCTTTACTAAAACACAACAACCAATCAAATATCAAGGATTGTTTGAGTGTAAATCAAATTGCAGGAAAGTGAGATAACTCTTGCAACTTTCTACAAACCAGCCCAATATACTGGATCAACAACATATTTGCACAGAGTAACAAAAACTTGTATTGAGCGATTCAATTTTGCGATTTCAAAATATAATAAAGTAGTAACTGAACTTTGTGTCGTGCAGTTCTGTTGGGCTGATTCTTCTGAAATCATGCGCACTCAATTGATATTGAGTTCTTGTGAATAATTTCAGACCAAATTGAATTCCATCCAGTTCAGTTACCATTATTAATCCCCGCGGGGAAACATGACAACCAAAAGAAAGGAAATTGGGAAGTAAAAGTCAATGAAATCTCGAAGAATGATAAGCGGTGGCCTGACGTAAGTCCGCCAGAGTCAAAATTTTCAAAGAGGTGTGGGTTCCAGACATGGCTGGGTCATTGTGTGGCGTTCTAGGCGTCCACTTGGTGAAACGAAGCGCGATAGGAAAAAAGCGGACGAGTGAAACAGCGAGCGAGGCTTGGGTCAGCTCGCGTAAGCTCGACCCAAACCTCCCTCTCTTTTTCACTCTATCGAAGCTATCGCGCCTTTACTTATTTCGCTCTGTTAATGAGCCTCTGATTTACCTTACTCTTAAAAGTTTAAGGTGAATATGTCTTCTCATTCAATACAATAGTTTATTTCATGATTTTACCTCTACTTCACTTTTATGGCTTCAAAATTTCTTTAGTATTAAAAATGATTTTTAAAATCATGTTCGTGCATAATGTTTCCTTGGTTGTTGTTCATGAATATCTTGGATTGAAGTACAATTGCTCATTTTCAAAACGTCGCAGTTCCCGATAGATCTTCAAATCACTTGATATCGTCAACAAGGTGACGGTTTGCTCAACCTCTGACTGCTCAGTTTGGCCGTATTTAGTCATCGCTAACAGGTCCAGGGTCCTCAATTCACAAAGCAATCGTTCCTAAATCAAATTATATTCAAACAGTTTTCCACGTCTTTCTGACTGACGATTCAAGGGAATACACTCTCATAGTGGGAATGTACAATTTATATCCCGTGCCCGCTCACGATCATCACTCGCCACTGTCTGATGACCGACGCTTTAATTTGGAGTTCACACAAGTGTGCCCTAAAGTTATTATTACTAGGGCGCCTCGGCCATCTAAGCCTCATCGATGGGTGTTATTTCCTCTGCACTGCTTATTTGTATCTTGTGGGATTGTTTGCCCCCACTTGGAGAGTTCATTAAGCGAAGCCTCAGCTCCCTGATCTCTTTGTCTTTCTGCAAATAAAGCAGCAATAAATGCTTTATCATACAATCATATACATGACCCTCACATACCAAGAGCTAGAATAAAACAACTGTGTCTTGTGGTTTAAAATGTGAAAGCGTTAGGATCACGTTGGTTTTGATTTGAAACGCACCGTATCAATCATAGGCGAATTGAAACCATCGAAACAATATGACGCGGAACAAAACAAGGTGATGCGACCGGAAAACTCGATTTTTCCCGCGTTTAGTTCCATTTGCTGCCTGTGATTGGATTCTTCGATTACTTCGTCGAGGGTTTTGGTTTGACAGCAATGATCCACAATGTGCTCTACAAGGTTAGTTACGTGATAAGGTTAGTTAAGGTTACAGCCTTTAACTTCTCCCAATGCACCAGAATAGCAACGACAAATAAACATGTAAAAAAGAAGCAAAACGAAACAAGATTTTAAATGCTTGCATGATTTTGTGGTTTTACCGTGCGCTTATAAGTCACCCCTTTTCCAATGCCGAAAAGAGGTTAAGTTTTGCTTTTAAGTTACATTGGATTAACTTGTCTAGTAAGTATGTAAGGGGTTTGTTGAGAATAACATAGTAAGTGATCTATTACTAAGTGCGGATCTATTGATCTATTACTGTAAGTAATTTATTGTGCGAGAGAGTTTGTATTTTAAGTGATGTATGGCCTTGGAAGTAAATTCTGGTGACAAGAAATTCTTAAAAACTATTGAATAATTTCAATTCTTACATCAGCCATTTTCCTCTTAAGCTCTATTAATTGTCGTTCTGTCTCAATTTCCATTGTTGGTATAGTGCTGTTTGTTTCAATAACTAAATTATTGGTAGTAAACGTTCGGCACAATTCCTCACCAACCAGTCTGATACGTTTCATCTCGAGTACCTAAAAACAAAGATCGATTTTATTTCGGTTTAGCGGGGATAGTTCTCCAGGGAGGATGGTAAGGAATTAAAAGTAGTTGAAAGTCTGTTTACGAGCCAAGCTTTGCTCCGATTTCCGTCATACGGTAGCATGAAGCGACTAAGAGTATCTCTGCTCCCCCCTGGATAGGATGCTGGTCCATACAGGGTTACAGCCCAACAGCCTTGAATTTCCCTGTACCCATTTAAACACCCGGGTGGAGAGAGGCACTGCAAGAGTAAAGTGTCTTGCCAAGAACACAACACAATGTCTCTGGCCACTGCTCGAACCCGGGCCACCCGATCCGAATCGAGAGCACTAACCAGAAGGTAACTAGAATATGCAATGCAAGATGCTATCTAAATTTATATGATAGGCTGAATCCTATACGCATTTTGATTGGTCCTTACTTACATGATTTATGCGAGGTCAGACGCATAGATGACATCACCCTAAACAACACCCTGCTTTTTCATCATACAAAAAAGAAAAAACAAACTAAAACAAGCAGACTCCAAATTCTGTCGGTCTGTTCAGAAATAGATCAGTTATAACGTCAGAATGTGGTAAGAACAAAAAAGGAACACAAGGAGCATCAAGATTGTTGACGTCATCTGCGATTTGTTGTTGATGAGACACACGGTAACATAAAATATTTTTGCTAATGACCAATAAAATGTCTTTACCTTCGGTATGAATACAAGACACAGAGTGATAGAGGTACAGATGATAATGCAAACAGAGATAATAGAAAACGAAGCATCTGGTTCTTCACTCATGGCCAATGATATCGGCGCACCAATAACACACAGGATAAACACATTGTACACAGACATACCAATGTACCTACAAAAATAAAGAAATCACAAATAAACCAGATATACGTAATAGTAGCGACAACGGATTTACTTAGGTATGGACCTAAAGAAAGTTTTCTCAAAATTTCAAAGAAACAGTATTTCTTTTTCAATATAAACCAGCCTGATTGATTCTGAGAAAAGCCATTCCTCGAATATCTAATGTAATTAATTAGTTAACTCTATTCGACAAGAAGATCTCATCAATAATCCTCCTTATTGTCTGCCATATTCTAATGTGTTAGTTTGGAGAAGTTGGCTTTGGATCAACTAATAATCCCTTATGATATTTTTCTTTGTTCTCATCACCTGTCTGCTTTTTACTGTATTGATATTGTACGAGCAAATTCTGTTTTGGTTGCCCATGGAGTTAAAAGGGTCTGAGGTTAATTTTGATTGACGTATTGGCTGGCGTATTAATTCAGAATGGTGGCCTTTCGGTTCACAGAGCGAACCTCCGTTCCAAAAAAAACCAGTTTCTCGCTCATGAAATAATCAGAAATTTCTTTCTTTATTTGATATAGTATACTGATTGATATAGAATACAATTTTTTGAAAGAATTCTATCAGCCTATATCCATCGAAAGCTCGGGTTCGTCAGCCTGCTTCTTAGATAGTGCGGCTGTAAAATATCTTTTTTTTTTGGTGCAGAGCATACTTGGAATCATTTAGCGCAGGTATCGAAACGTTTCTTGTTTCCCATGCAAGGAACGCCCCAAATAATAAGAGAAGTCCTTTGTAACCACACAGTACACCTAGCCAGCGGTATGTTAATCGAGACTCGCACAGCTCCAGCTGCTTCACTAGTGTAACGTCTAAGTCGGTATCTAAAGACTGGAAAAACAAAAACAAAAGCGGGTACGGGTGAGCCATTGACGATAACCTATGTTTAGTTACAACATACGTATCACAGTTGAGGGTAGGAACAGCACACGGCCATTTACTAGGAGAAATTAATTTTCTCTTGCTCTGTCTTAAATTTCTACCCAGAAAAATGGCAAGACTCATTTTTTTTCTGAGGTTCATAATGGTACAGCAAAATTCCTTACGTAATGTAGTGATTACCTGATAATTAATCAGCAACCAAGCAGTCCCGTTTAAGTAATAAACGGGTAACATTCAATCTTGTAACTTACACAATGATCGCTTTCATTAACAAGCAGAAAGCAAGTATTGGATGAGTATGGGCATACTGGCGAATGGAGAAATAACACAAACAACGCTTTACTAATTCTCTGTCATGCGTAAAACTAGTTTGAAAATTGTATCTAGACGCAGGAAGAAGCGTGGTGCTTTCTGTTGTCATTTTATATGCAAAAAAATGTTCTCGAAAGACACGAAATCGCCGTGCAGCGTGAAACTCCAGCAAAATATCATATTAGATGATATTTCTCACCTCTTTTATAAACTCGCGCACAATTCTTGTCATAGGATCCGTTAGTTGCCAGACTGTGAGGTAGATGACGTCAGCAATTACAAGCAGACAAACAACAGCGAATAAATGGCGATCTTTTACAACCTAGAGAGCGAAAGCGCACAGCCAGAACATTAACTTGCCCCAGGCATACAACACTTTTTCTCGTGATAAACAATGAAATTTGCAGACAATCCACGACGAGTTGACAGATCTGGCAATAAATCATTTCTCAGAGGTTTCTTTTACCTAGCTCTTTAGGACTGCTGCGAAAAAGAATTTTCAATTTTAATCACCTTTCGTTTTAGTTTCTTGTTGGTAAATATCAAATGTACTCGCCAGGTCTTAGAAAACATGGCGCCATATGCAAGACTGAAGCCAAGAGAGAGAGTCCAGGCTCTGCTCTGGAAAAAAAAAGTTTGAAAAATGACGACATGAGATTTAAACTGAATTTGAAAAAGTAGTAATCATTATATCGATAAAATTAAATGTTTAGTCCAATACCTCTAGGTGTAATAGTTATGAAGCGGAAATATTTAAAAAATAATAGCAACTGTGTTGCAACTCAGGCGGGAAACTGTTTCGTTCGTTGTCCCGTTTACAAGGGATATTGGCGAATTTCATTTTCGATAATGAAGTACTTAGCTAAGTTTTAATCTCTTCTCTCGTAATTGTCTTCAAAGAGTGTGTACAACTTTCCTCGGTTAAGTAGTATACAATGTTATTGGTTTTTGTTAAGCGATGGTCGAAAACAGTTCATTTATAATGTCACGTCAATCACACGATACTGTCAATATCTCTGGGCTAGTGGACCTGCACGGCAAACTGTCTAGTAATAAGCTATCTCTAGTATCCGTGATTTGAATTCCCTAGATAAACGATATACACGGTCAGTTCTAAGCTTAGATTGTGGAAGGATTTGATCTCTGAGGTGATTCCGTCGCGTTCTTTAGACAAAAAACTACGAATAAGTGCGATTGAAGTTTGATTCTCACCGCACATATCATCTCGTAACCATCAGAGATAAATCCGCCATCCAAACCAAACAGAAACACTGAGATGTAACTTAACGTGCAACCCAGTAGAACAGAATTGTTCAGATTAGGACTAGACATCTTGATGAACCTTTTGTAGGAATAAAACACAGGTTATGATTGAATTTAATAACAGTGAGATATGTGAATGTTGCTACACTTCTAACTTGCATCGAGTTTGGTCTATGTTTCTCAGGTCTATCACAGTAACTGGATGTGTTATTGCCAAAATATAGAGAAAGATATTCTAGTCCCCCACCCTCCCCAGGTCCCAAACCTGACAAAGTTCCTTCCCCACTCCTGCATTTCAGTGTGTACATAATTGGAAGTCGCCGCATCAAACCAGCTTGGCAAAATGATCAATGTCATGAACTGTTTCACTAGAAATTTGCTCGAAGAGAGGAAAGACTACCTCTACATCGTCAAAAATCGAGCACAGACAGCTAAACAATGTTAAGATTGCATTCTGGTTTGCCTCTGCCAGCGAACTTCGTGAGTCGGGGTATATACAGTTATACACCTGCTCTCCCCCCTCCCCTCCCTTTCGCCTTATGTTTCAAAACGCAGTGCCGCCCTATGATTAACATGATCCCAAGCATCATTTCGAACCTGACATTTCTCTTGGTAATGTTGAACCACAAGAAGAACAGAGAGATTACTATAGCCAGTGACGTCAGCACCGCCATAAATGTAAACAGTGAAACAGATACTGACATTAGCTCATAAACCAGTTTGGTTTTGTCCCGTGGGGGCGATCCACCTATTAACGTAACACCATAAAGACAAGTAAGTGTTGTATCTCTCTAACATTTATACCCGGGGCTTAGATATCAGAGAAAAAAGAAGTAGTCTTATGTAAACAAAAATTGATCAGGAGAAACCCCCTTTTGTGGTGCTAACCTTCTATTGTTTTAGAACTAACTAGAAAGCTATGTACTTTTTAGTTCATTGCTCAGTCTTTTCACGAACTTAATTTGAATCTGTGTAAGCGCGCTATACTGAGCTTTTCCCCCAACAACGTTTTTAGTTATTATCATTTTGGTAGAACACAGACCAAGAGCTCCCGCGAGAGAACCCCTAGGGAGACAACCCTCTCCTCCCCCTCAAAGCCAGAACTTCGATACTTTTAACCAGTGTCACAAATGCAGAGGAACTGCATTAAGGTTTTCCCTTACAAAACAGTTCAATGGCATGAACAAAACAAATTAAGGAAAGAGATTTAGCCAAAATTTAAAAAGGGCTATTACTAATGGCATCGCAGTCGTTTGTATTGACCAGAAGAACCTTTGCTTTGGGGTTTAAGATCGTAGTTTCAACTGTTAAATAATTGTGCATAATGTGCGCACATGGCAGATTTTTACTTATCACCTTTCCATGTGATAGGTTCGTAGTCATTCCAAGTTATCTCGCCCGTGTTTATGCGATATAGTCCAACGGTTACGAACCTCCCATCTATAAACAGAATTAAAATAAACATGTTATAGAATCGTTAAGAAAACTGTGGTAGTTACTTATTGCATTATGAAAATAAAATGCAATTTTTATTTCCTTACGAAAGTGAAAACGGCACAAGGATTCATCGCACTCTAAAAATGACAATACTTCAGCCATTGCCGACCACGTCAAGGCCACTGGACATAATATCAAGTGGGATCATATTGATATTTTAGCAAAAGGCAATTAAAACAGATTACCATTGTAAAATCAAAGAGTCCTTACTTATTCAAGAACTTGAGCCAGCTTTCAACGTGAACGTCGGAAGTGAAAAGCTGTTGCTTTATTAATCTGTTCAAGTGCTATTGTTTATTGTTAAGTTTTTTTTGCTTAATCTTGGTTCCATTCCCGTCACCTTGGTTATATATATACATAGCTGTTTTAAATTTCAACGGTTACTTTTGAAAATGTATGTGGAGTACATACGAAACGTCAAGTCATAATCAAAATGTGCAAGTTCAATATGTTTATCACTGCTGTTTGTGTCTTAATTTTGATCAAATTACGATGGACAAAAGCATTTACGATCACACTCTATATTTGGAAAAAATCGATTTACTCATCAAAAGTTCTAGCTACGCTTATGAAACGAAAATGACGCGCTTGTTATTTTGAACCAGGAACCCGTCAAACTCTACGGTCAGAGCAGCCCTGAGTACTAGATAGCAGATAGCGTTGCTTTTCTCCTACACAAAGATGAAAATAGGCTGGGTCTGAAGAATTACTCGCTAGATCTGTAAAACATAGAACGACCTTTCATTTGAACTATTTGTGTATCTCCAGCTCTGTTTCCTTTGCTGGTGAAACCAACAGGGCCCTAGGGAAAAATAAGATTTAGAGACTTAATGATTTGGAAAACTATTGCGCTTCACGAGAACAGAGGATGAATACTTCTCACCAAAATATCGTTAACTTATAAAAATTTTTGTTTCAAAAGTTATAAGCTCAGTTGCAACAAAACTTTAAACCAGATATTTAGGCGCAATTTTGAAGCTTTAACACTAAATTTCCTTGAAAAAAAAAAAAAAAAAACTCTTAGCGCACGGGGCAAAGAGTGAGGAATTTTCTGGATTCAAACATTGACGCGATATAAGGAACACAGAGTCTCTGGGGTTATTTAAACGTAAGATCAATGACATTCTTTAAGTCTAACGCACAGCATTCACGGAAAACAGCTTTCGTGTTATAGTATGTAGTTTTAATTTTAAATATCTTAGCGTATGGGATATGTATTTTTATGGGCTGATGAATTGATCGTGTTTAAATAAAGATTACATTACATTACATTACATGGATCGTTTTCATTTTAAATTTCTTCCTTAACCAATGAAATGCAATTTTCTTCAACAAGAGATTTGATATTCCCGTAAGTCACAAAATCGATACAGTTTGCCTATTGTTTTTCCACAATCAATCAGTAAGGAGGTTTCTTTTTTTTTATTTACACGAGTGGAGCGCTACCGAAAAAAAGAAAATAACAAATCTATGGAGTCAATACTTGTCTCAGCTCACCGTAACCCCTGAAAAGTTGGTTCCTCGAAGAGCTTTTGTAATTTCAACTGATAGGGACCTGTCTCCATATGGCACCTTATCTAAAGGCGTGGCCAGCTTGGGGATGGTCCTATTCAGTGCTAAAGCCATGGCCCACACTGCGTCATATGCATAACCACGATGAACATCACGTGCCTCTGGAGAGACTTTGGCTTCGTATTCAGCTTGGAAATCTTCAACTGTCTGAATGAGAGTTAGGAGCCTGGAATAAGCACTTAAGTAAGTTTCCTTGAAAGGGAGTTACTCTCTTGACTTTCTTTTTAACTCTGAGCAATTTACGGTTATGCTTAGGTTATCAGGGAAATGCTGCAAAAGATGTGGTCAAGGTGCTTTTCTTTTAACTGACGGACGTGTCATTCTTTGTTACTGAAGTTCCCGAGAAATGTTTGAGACTCAAACGACCGGAAATTTTGTTATCATAGGGTAATAAATAATGGTAATTGAACTGAATGGAGTGCAATTTGGGCTGAAATCATACGCGTGATTTCAAAATCAAACGAGCGCGGAGCGCGAGTTCAACTTGAAATCAAAAGTATGATTTCGGACCAAAATTGCACGACACGAGGTTCAATTACCACTCAATTACATCCATTTTGAAACCACCCAAATACAGGACTTGCTCAATTAAAATATTTTACTGATGCAGTACTGAGCCGGTTTTTAAATAAAAAGCGGAACCGGAAACGCGTTTACATCTTATTTTGTATGCAAAACAGAAAGACTTTAACATCATGTGTCGAAAACTCAGTCAAGCATAAAACGATGCGATTTAGAGCAAAAAATGGTGCGATTTGGGAATAAATCGCACCAATTAGAGTCAATCAGATTACAGGGACCACCAGTGATTTCAAAATGGATGTAATAAGTTTGAATATTACTTTATAAACTAAAGCCTATTTTCCTATTTAAGCCTGAATATTACGGTAAAGTGTTTTCAAAAATCCAGATCTTGAAAATCAAATGAAGAGACGTTTGACTTGTACACTGTATAATCTTGGCCACTCCCTGAATCAAACTGCAGAATATCATGTCATCTAGATAAAAAAAAGAGTACAATGTTTTTCTCCTACTGATATGTGTTCGTGAACCTAATGCGGGGGCAATGAACAGAAATTAATCATGTGCGGCAAGTATGCGCAGTACAACATAAGGACTACCTTAGCTGATTTCTAATAAAAGAAGAAACAGAAAGGAAACATACCTTTCCATAAGCTGTTTTTGCTTCTGACCCAGTACTCCACAAGTAATCTGTTGCTAGGTGACCATCCATAGCCTCAAACAACTGCCCTGGCGTACACGTGATACTGGAATCGTTAACTAGCCACCAGTTTCTCTCTATATACCCCAGAAGAATCCAAACGTACTTTGCACCGTACATGCGCAGTTTGTACGCCTACAGGATCAGGAATTTATAAAGGGTTAGGTCTTATGAAGATTATCAAGGCTTCCATTTGATGAGACGACCAAAAATATTGTTACTCTTCCTAAAAGTTGTTTGCCCAAAACAGCTTCTAGCCAAATAGATGCATGCCAGGCCTCGAACCCGAAAATTTTGATTTGAAATACTGCCAGATTATTGAACTATGTCAGTCTTATTTGTGATGATAATGTTCATGCATTTTATACAACGTACTCTCCATATCAATGCGCTCTAATCCGCTTAACAAAATTTTGCGGCGGACTTTGGCAATAGTGCACTGAACAGCTTATAAGTTTTGAAACGAAATTTTTCAGGTGCCTCAATGTAAGAATTTTTTTGGAAACAAGGACAGAATACAATACCGGGAGCTATGTTCCCTACTCTTTGCGATAAGTGTGTGGGTTCCTTAATGTCCCCTGCAAACCAGAGTAGACATCGGTTTTCAAGTTTTTTGAGTAAGGTAATGAGATTTTCCTTGAATCGAATAACTGATGAAGCTTTTTGCAGTTGTGGTGTGGCAATTTGACGACTATCACAGTTGTTATATATATGTGGATGCGAAACAATATCACTTATCCTCGTTTTCAACTCGTAATTCCACGCTAAATATCTCGCGTCGTCGACTAATCAAGATTCGACATTTTATTCAATTATACGATTCTAATAAAAATAGGAGCATAAAACGGTCATAGGAGCTTACCTCGCAAAAAACCTGTCGAGCGCCTTTACCAAAAAAGTTAGCTAGGATGATTCTTGCTCCTCTTTTCTGAGTATTGATGAAAAGGAAGAAAGCATTTTATTACGTGGCTCATTGCTCTCTTAGAAGTTTTGCTTTTGTGATAAGTTACCTTTATATTCTCCATCTGGGCATGCGCATCTTCTCTGAAACTCTCGGAAGAAAGTTTAATGATACCATTCTCCCAAAACAGAGCTTGAAGATCAGTTATAGCCTATGAAAAAAAAAGTCATATTTTCATTTATATTGATAGTTAGACTCACATCTCTCCAATCAAGGAACAAATCAGTTAACAAATATTTGTCTCAAAGGTTTACAACATTGATTGATGCACGACCTTGCTTTCAATGTCTTTTTATTGAGTAATAGGAACACTTGATTTAAACCTACGTCCGTCAAATAATAACTAAACGAAAGCTACCAAGCCTTTAGCAGGCCCTCGATATTTGTGCTTCGGCATTAGCTTTTCTTCGCCCACGAGAAATTATGTGACCTTGAGAAAAGCTAGCCGACGGGAGTTCTGCAAGGGGTCTGACACTGATAATGAGTACCAGACCCCTAGTAAACGTCTTACCGACTTGTTTCAAGTCTTCCCGCGCGCACGCGCGTGGAGGGAAGTGTGTCATACAGTGCTAATAATAAGGGTCTGTTCGCAGACTAAAAACTACCGTTCTGTGTATGTCCTCCTCCTGAAAGATGGTACCAACGTGACTCCATTTGAATGTTTTTAGTAAAGCGATCCGAGGTTCGTTAAATGAAGTGTCATCTGGTATCGTGCGGTAAAAATACGGATAGCTCTTCTTTACAGACAGCTCTGGTGATGTACTGGAATATGATATCTGTAGTCATGAAAATGGGAGACAACTGATATTTGCTTTTTTTCTGACTGAGAATAGAATTGTGCAAAGAACCACTGCTAGGTTGTACAAAAGCAACCACACAGAGAAGGGCATCTCCATTAACTATTTTCTGTCATTTTTACTTGATAACACAGTTTGATATACAAAAATTTACTCGGGCCCTTCACCTTGAGCTCGGATGGTTCTAGTGTCATGTTCATGAATTTTATTTGAACTGCGAACGAATAAAACTATTGACTATTGCGAGAACTTGTAGAATGAAAGTTTCTCGTAATAAAATAGACAAAAAAAAATACGTATCACATATCATGTCGTCTTGGATATTTCTAGGCTGTCTGTCACCTTTTACGGTACAGGAGCAGTTTTTATAACAACATAATTTTCTCTATGATATACCTGTGGTATCGCCCATTGATCAAGTCCAGCCAAAGCCGCAACTACTGTGCTACATGACGAGAACCCAGCTCCAAGCAACATTATTTTACGAGGCTCTTTATGAAGGAATTCAAAAAGGATGTGTTCTGCCCAGCCAGGTGAACCCTGCAATTAGAAACCTCTTGTTAAAAATCAATAAATTTCTAGAAACCTGGTTAGTTTTGTAACATGACCTGCTTACCGAAGACGTACTATACGTTTTTCTTATGTCGGTATAGACGCGTTTGAAGTCTAAAATCTTCGCGATGCGATCAGACATGCGTGAGATTTCTGGTGGTCTTGATTTCCTTTTTTAGCAAAATATTAGACCTAGAGTCGATGAAAAGCGAAAATTTTTCTTTTATTTTGCTTCCTCTTTTCTTCCAATCTATAAATAAATTCATCATAAATTAAAAACAGATGCGAATCTTCTTTAACTATAATTGAAAAAAACCATTGTTGGGCAGACAGTGAAAATTTGGATTTTGTTCATTGTCTTTAGCGTAAACGTGATTCTAAATGAGATCGACATCCTTCATCCAGGAAAATTGTTGCAAAGATCATCAATACGCTATCAAAATTCAACAAAACAAAAAAAAGTGAAGAAGTTAATACAGCATCAAAGAAAAAAAAATTGGAAAAGAAGAAAACAAAACGCAAGCAAACGAAACCAAATGTCGTAGGTTAGAAATCCTTACTTTGGTGTCGTTCCAAATCATTCTTACCTGATAATGCTTCAATACCCCGGCTCTGTTCACGTGATCAAACGCCATTTGCGCGGCTGGTAAAATACCATTACCGCCTGTCCATCCGTCTTTGTGCTCTGACGTCAGAGGAAATAATGCTCCTACATAAAGGGACGTCTTTGGGCTTACTTGTGGAAGATTATTTACCAAGATGTACAGAGGAAGCACAAGACTCTGGGGAGACATTGTGCTTACCTGTGACACAGAAAAGTCAAATCAATGACTAGACACGTTGTTTGTTTGTGTGGAAAAGCTAAGAATCAATATAATCAGTAGGGCCGACAAATGGAAAATAGTCATGTCCAAACTCTTAATATTATATTTAAAAAAAAAAATTAACCAGTTAGATCATGATTTTAAATTTGTTCTGTGAAGCAATTTGCTTTGTTTATATGTAAGACACGGACAGGGACAGCTTCGGATGAAAAGCACAAATTAATGCTGAATTGCATTGAGGATTTTGCGATATAATAAGATAAGTATTGGAACTGGCAACCACAAATGTCTACTCAAAACGCTCTACTCTCGATTGGGAGACAACGAAAGCCTTTCTTTTTTGCAGTAATTTGGATATATCAACAAAGTTGAAATGGTAAATTGGCCACCGTAACGATTACAAAAGCTGACGTTTCGAGCGTTAGCCCTTCGTCGGAGCGAATAGAGGAATTGTGGGTTGTGCGTGCTTTTAAAGGCAGAAAATGGAGCTACGTTATTGGTGGGAACATGGCAACGAGAAAAACACGAATAAATTAGTGGAATGAAAAGCGTTCGTTGATCCCTGTGGGATTTAGACTGCCGGTTTGAAAGATGAGCTTTTGTTCAAGAGTTTTACGGCTTTCCGTGCTACCTAAGTGTAAGGAAAGACCGCAGATTGCCTTTCTTTCTTTTTGTAGGCCGCGTACAAGAGGGTTTCCCCAAGGTTGAATAGACTGTCCGCAGTTTTTTACTTTCGACTAATTAAGAATCTTTCATGTCTGACAGGTTTGTCATTAACTAACTTATTGTAGCCCGGAGTTCTGAATTTTAATCCCCATTCCCAATTTCCATGCAAGGAGTATTTCACATACCTTGCGATGCTGTGCTAATATGCCTCTAAAATAGTATTAATAACCCGTAACAGTAATTCACGAGTGTTCTTTTTGTTCTTTTTTAAAACGAAGTTTACGTGTTGAATGCGGCCGAAACTTTTCGTGTTTCACTGGCTAATATTTTCCTTCTAATACCTATCTCGCTTGTTTGATTACAGCCAGCTGGAAACCTCCGTACTCATGTTTTATTAACAAGTTGGATTTCTGTAAAGAAAGTTGGCGAATATAAAAAAGTCACTAATTATTTCTTTTTCAACTTTTTTTTTTTTTTAACTCGGATTTCTCGTTTATTTGCCCTCAAAATCTCCAACCTATTTTTTTCCCTTTCTAACATTGGGTTCTTAGATCTTTAGGAACAAAAATGCAGTTTTTTCCTCTTGGCCCAAATGAATCTCTCACCGAAGATTGAATAACTTGTTTGGAATAGATCTTTTACGCATCAGCCAATGTAACTCCTGTCATGATCAATGTTGTTCCAAACTATTTCAAATAGAAACAGGTCCTTTCGTGGTATTTGTACGCCTTGTCACCTTCTTGATGAAGGCCTTGTATGTGTTTGTTCAAGATGGTCGGAATCATCGCCAACTTAAGGCAGTACTTGACAAATTTCAAACATGATTTTATCACCTTTGTGGGCTTTAGTCGAAAGTTCTCATTTCACAGCTTCTAAAGAATAATTTTTTCTTCCCGCAGAATAGACTTTTCGAACGAAACTCTCAAGTTTTCCGTTGCGGCCTTCAGTGAAAATTCTGCGCCTAAATGCAATAAGATCACCAAAGTGTCTTCGTCTATAATATCAAAACATTATTTCCAGCCTTAAAGCTGACAAAAGCTTTAGATTTTACATCACAGCGATATCTGTTTGACACCCGTTTCCAGCAGTGCCATTCTGTTGAACAATTCCCAATGATGAAGCAAGTCAAAGCTCACCTGAGGGCAAATTAATTTTTCTCACTGAGTCAAATGCTTTTCCTTTCAGCCACCAGATTGGGGAACATTCAGTTATCCATATTAGACTTGATTTTATGTTAAAAACATTTCTTGCTGAACAAGGAGCCTTCCTGAAAGATAGACATGATCAATAACTTTTTAATTTGACTTTGCACGTTAAATAGCACGAAAGCAATTAAAGTTACCGGAAAACATCTCGGCTTTCATGAGAGTCATTTCCGCTAAATGAGTAAAATTATCATTACTGCTCGTTCCAAAAGAAAGCAATTAGCGCAGAACTAATTTACAATCGCAAAGCACCCACATATATTTTGGTTTTTATGCATACATAAGTCAAACTTAAACACCTTGGGAATATAAAGTGAATACCTTTGTGAAAAAAATGTTCCATAGCCCTTGTTTTACAGATGAATTAGAAAATTTTTCCCAAAAAAAAACCAGATTTTTATCTCTTACTGCAGTTTTAAAGAGGGCAGGAATTTCTACTTGATTTACGTATGTCATATACAAGTTGTCAGTTTTTAATCATGCGCGAGCAAATAGAAATCTACGTAGCATAAACCCCTCCGAGAAACCCTGTCAGTTTGTTTAGACTCGTTTACAAGCTGGTTGACAGACGTCTGTTTCAATGACTGCTTGGTAAACTTTCTTACTTCCCGTCTACATGGTGGGGTAATGACAATCAAATCGAGAAAGGTAGGGAAAAGCTAGTTTGTTTTGAAAATGATACAATTCAAATTTCTTGAGGGAAGACTGAGATTAAAATGAAAAAGAAAAACGTTCTGCTGCAAAGAATTTCTGTGATTCTTTGCGGAAAAAATGAAGTTATTTAATAAATAGATGCAAAAAAAAAAAAAAAAAAAAACAAGAAAAAAAGAAAAAAGAATATGACGTTAAGGGTAATAATCATGATGATACTATCACTGAGATACATTTTGAAAAGATGATAAATTGTGATCTTGAATGATCCATTTTTCTATTTTAGCAAGAAAAGTTCAGATAAAACAGGATGGGAACTCGTTAATCAATATTCGATTCCTTGCTGAGCTGGAGGGATATGTTTTACACCTGCTCTATGTACTTTTACTGCTGAACCGCTGGAAATCGCTGGGCCCACGAACAATTTGTAAACATTATACCATGAACTAATTTTTTCTATGATCTCAACTAATTTCCTGATAAGACTGAATCTATTTCCCTTCGTCACGGTCAGAACCGTTTTCAATCGGTCTTTCAATCACACAACGAGATGTGTACCTAGTAACGCTCTCTAATACGAAGTTTGCTATCGTACGTATATTCAAGTTTTTACACGAAGACAAAATGTTTCCATGATGACATAATTCTTAAAAATTAGCTAAAACTCCAAACTTCTTTGAGTCTTGGCATACATTGTATTTCACAGGAGTCAGTGGATTCAGTTTTCATTCAAACAAGTAGAGAAAGAATTCAAGCCGAACTGAGAGTGGCATGCTGTTCAACCCCCTTTGGCTTGAACGATGGTAATCTAACTAACTGTTTTTGATTTCATTGAGTAGAATGCACGACTCTCTATGTCTTAAAAAGAAAAATCAAAGAAGGTCAACCTGTTTTCTATCTTGAGAGTCGAAAAGCGTCAGTCATCGTTATGTCACTGCCCTTGTTTCTCTCAGAACCTCGTGTTACTAGTACTATTACTGTCAGATATTGTGTAGCCTTGCGCATATATAATTACATCAGTTCTTTTAATTCTTAATGGAGGAACCAACGAAGACAGTTGAAAAGGACAAAGGTTCGAACTAAAGAATCCGATTAACACGGGATATTTTCTTTCAGCTTCACGTGAGATAATAATTAATTTTGTGTGTTTTAATTGTAATGAAAATTTTCCTAGCTGATCAGCCCTTTTTGTTTAGCATCCTACTGATCGCCTGAATCCAAAACTAAACAAAAATTTAAAAAAGAAAATTTTGAAAAGAAAAAAGAAGGAGAGGGAGAGAAAAGAAGAGAAATATTACACATACTGCTGAAGTATAAGTCTACCAAGAGTCCTGCGTTTCAAGTTTTCTAGAAAGCTTTCTAGGAAGACCGTGCTCGCTAAATGTTTTGCATCACACAAGCGCGTTCAGTACTTCATAAAGATCTAAAGGAACGTTGCTGGTTATGTTGCTTCACTTTGAGTTCATTATGAACCTTACTTTGCCTTTACACACATCATTTTTCGGTAAATTAAGAGAGAACAGCTATCGTTTTGTTTATTTGATATGTTTCAGTAAAGATGTGATAACTGTAAACTAGCCAGCTGTTTGTTTATTGTCATGAAAACTGAGGGGGTCGGTTCTCCTACATTTGAGCCCTGTGCTGGTTGTTTGCTCGGATAAAATAAAGAAAAGTTTTTTTGTCCAGAATATATTAACGAGTTGTTACGGCCTAATCCCATCTTTCTATTTCTTCAACAACAACTGAAATAACAAAGGGCGAAATTGGATCTGTTTTGAAAGTAGCGTTTCCATGGTGATCTTCATGGAATATGCAATCTCATATGTGTTTTGCTGAGACTGCCAACCAAATTGATGATATGCAAGCAAAAAAATCCTCTCTCGCAATAAAGTGTGATAAATTTTGCGAATTAATCTTTCGAATTTTCCATAATTTTGCAAATAATTGTTTTAGCTTTGATTCACTTCAACCAAAAATGGAATTGTTTATGGATACCGATGCTGGAACCATTATAGCAACGCCTAGTTATAGAACGTAACCCACTAAAATTCACGGTGAATTAACGCTCTTTGAAGAAAAATGAGATGATTCAGTCTTGACCCAACCCTTTTTCAACGATGCTACAACTCTTCAATAGAGTAACCAGGTGTTACCATATCAAATGTAGACAGGTACGTTTCGACTGTTTTACTGTAAAGCTATGATTTCGTAAAAAAAACACCCGTGCCATTGCCGATTACGTATTGCACGAGGATTATCTTCTATTTATTTGTTTTTGTTCGCTTCCATTGGTGCATTTTGTCGTCGTTCCGTTTTGCCGTGATTAATCAGACCTTCTTCGCTTTCAAATCGGATATAACACAAAGCTCACACAAGCTTATTGGGGCCTATTAAACAAATCGAACCATACAAACCGAAACGCATCGTCTTAAAGATTCCTTGTCAATATATACTGCAAATTAACTATCTACAGTTAGTGAGAAATCAGTTCTAAAAATCTACCGCACGTCATGACTTATCTGCTAGAGTATCAACACATGTCGAAAGCCACTGCAGGAAGCGAAAGCATGAACGGGGGTGGGCTGGGTGGAAAAGGTTACTAGGGGCTACAACTGGCGGCTTAATTATCAGGGATTACAGAACTACATGCCGGTTAGCCTCTACAGACACAATTAAATTGTTCAGAAGGTGATTGAACAAGAAAAAAAAACCATGGAATAAATCAAAACAACAAAAACGAAAAGCAGACAATAAAATCAAGACATCTTAAACGAAAAAAATTCAGTACAGTCATTAGCTGGGATTATTTTCTTGAGAAATTCACTCTAATTCGAGAGAAAACTTTTACAAAATGCAAAGGTAACATTTTAAGCCGCTTTCGAAAGCTTCCAAGATTTTCTATTTGAAGGTTTTTATCCCACGCGGCTTAAACGAAAAGTTTTACCGATGATAATGCGTGCATTTGGTAAAAGTCTGAATTAAAATCTCAATTTTTTATTTTGAATTGATTCCGGTGCTAAGCTTAGTCATTATTTGGATTTTAGATTTAATTCCGTGAGCGTATCATAATTCCGAGATGCGATGAATACATTAAATTCTACACAGCAAGAGATTTTCTATAAAATCGCTTGTACACAGATGGCCCAAAGTTAATTGACAACGTCGGTAGTTTTCAAGTGCTTTTCTGCAGCGATGTTTACTTGTTTGTAAAGAATTTGTAAATACTAATGCCTTAATGTAAATCCGACACCACTCCTTTCTTGATTAACCAAAGTAATATTCAACTCCTGCACTCTGGAAAATGTACAAAATATATTCACTGTTTGTAAGAACTTATCAAAACCAGCAATTCACCACTTTTATTGGATTCAGTCATTTTCCAAAAAATCTTTGATTTCCGTCTGATTCAATTCAAAATTAAAAATAAAGGATACCGTAATTAAAAACAAACCACAAAAAAAAAAAAAAAAAAAAAAGAAGTAGAAGAAAAGTGAGACAAAAGCATCTCTCCAGTAAATCTTTCTTAAGAGAAAGACTGGATATTCTTAGTGTTGCTTTAGCGGGTTGTAGTTTGTAAGTCCACCATTTTAAAACTATTGATCTTTACTGTTCCTCATCTCCCGTAATGATAGAGGACTATAAAACTAAAGATAAATGACATTGCAGCATTTCCATTACAATTTCCCTCACTAACCTTGGTAGTTCACATTGAGAATTTCTCTAGAAATTTGCAAAAAATGTGGGTGGGAGCTCCTCGAAGACACTGCGGATGTTTTATCGCTGTAATTTAACAAAACTGACAGAAGATAAAACGCTGGCGGGTTTTTACAATACGAAACTTAGTACGCTAATGGTTCGCGCTGATATAGAATGCGATTTTCTATCGAGCGGCCCTCTTTCAGAGAAGCAATTAAATTAAGATTTTCCTCAGGTATAGAATAACAATCAAGGATATCATGATCACTTTTGATTTCATTGTCAGTTTTTTTGATAAAAACCGACGTCGGTACAATAGTTATTTATAGGGTCAGCTTGTCAATGATTTTTAAACACGAGTGTATATATTTTTCTTTTTAAAATCCTCTATTACTTCGTGACTGCTACTCCATTGAGCTCTAACTTAGAATTCTTTCCTCATTTTTGTAATAAGGTCGCGTTTCCAGTTAATTTAACACTTTCCTTGCCAGAACAGGTGAACGAAAAAGAGCGACTTCGTTCACCTTGTGAATTATCAGTGTTGTCGCAAAACTGACATAGCTGTATTTAAACAAAAAGACATGTTTAGGAAAACTCTAAATAACGAAAACTGCTCATGTACTGCCGATTTCACTGTGGAAGGAAATCCTAAAGGGTTTTAATGAATATCACTCATGAGTTTATTATTCGTTTGTTTGTATTACTTAATGGAGTACGGTGAATGTGGCGTTGATTAGTTTTCTTTGATACTGCTTTCAACAAACAAGCTTTCCGAGTTTGACAGTTGCATTTGCCGAGAGCGGTATTGGCCTTTATTAGAAGAATTTTTTGTCACGTACACCTGAATATACACTGTCATGGCTTACCGCGATTGAGTTTCTCAAGCTGTGTAGTAAAACACCTGAATAAGGCTTTCATTGTTCGTTCATTTGTCGGGAAATTCTAAATTTTCTTTAGTCGCTCTCGAAAAAGGAAAAAAAACCCAAGATTTTTCACTTCATCAAGACGCCCATTCGAAAAACTCCGAGTTCACAATGTTTTACACTTCCTTCCGCGCTGGAAGTCGAGGTAAAAGTGCTTTGACTTGAAATTTGTTTTGAGATTTTCGATAATGATAAACTCTTACCTAGAGATCTCATAAAAAAAATATTCAATTGATAATCTAAACCAATCAGTTTAAATTGAATTTAAGTAGTCTTCAAGTTATTACAAACAGTCCACCGTCCATCGTCTACTGACTGGGTTTTATTACACGCCGACAATAAGACGTAACCTTCATAATAAATGGATAAAAGTAAGTCGAATCAAGGGAAATTTTTGAGAAATTTGAGAGGAAAACCAAACAGTGCTTCAAAAAAATTTTTTTTCCTAGAACATTTAATCATTCCCCAGTATAACCAAGCATTTTGGTCATTTAGTTTCACCTTACATACGAATTTAGTGGTAAAACAACACGAAAGCGAGCGTAGTAACTCATAAATATCTTGTAGGTGAACGTGGGAAGATAAGCTGCAAGTTGGAGTAAAGGCAAATATTAACACACCACTTCTACTGAGAGGACGAGAAAAGAGAGACAAAAATGATCGATGATTACAAAGCGCAAATGATGTTCAAGAGAATATCAACAACATCGGTTACTTAACACAATGATCGAATTATTCAAACCAACATCAGAAATCTCATTTTTATATAACCGTAATTCTACGGCATCCAACATTGTTCAACTTAGTATTGTAAACCGAAAAAAGTAATAAACTCGACCAAAAGTTTGAACTTGAGTTAAATGTGATTTGTAAAGTTATGCGCAGAGACACATTTCGACTCGTTCAATGTTGACTCACATTGTTGCTATCGCCCCTTACCATCTTTTTTAAAACGCTGATCGCCTGCGTTAAAATGGCTAAGTGAGATTTTAGGAAACGTGAGGGAAATGACGCTGATCGAGCCTGGTTTGTTGCGCACATATCCGTGTGTACACAT